AGGTAAGGACTGTAAGATATCCTGTCTTGAGATAAACCCTCATCCAAAATGGCAGTAGAACTACTTCCAACTGATGTTGCTAACAGAGATTACAAAATGAATAGCGCCTCAGCCTAGCCCTTCATTGAAAAATTCAGCATTTTGGTATGAGTTTGTACTAAATAACAACTAGTCTGTTGCTTGAACTCATCACAGCACTGAAGAAATAAAAAGCAGGATGCAAGACAGGGTTTATTTGTTTGGATTCTTGCTTATTTCTTTTAGTCAGAAAGAAGGCCACAGCCTGACATCTCTTCTTGGAGACTAGGCTCACCGAGGCACAAATAGAGGTGAAGTTGCGAGCCTTTTCAAATGACAGTGTGTTAGTCTAGGCAACTTGAGGAGAGTATTCCCAACCTTAAGAAACTAAATTGACTTCCTAGATGTACAGCATAACAGATACTTTGAGCAGTAACCACTAGATGTGATCCACCTGGAGGTTCACATTGCACAGCCAGGGAAGAGGCTAAGATTATTCTCAGTTAAGTGGCAGCTCTGAAACTGCTCTGAAGTCATTCTGTTTGGCTTCCTGACTACTAAAAGGCTAATTTCAGATTAGAAAAAGAAATCAAACTGAAACTTAGAGAACTGCTGAAGTAAAGCCAGATGGCTTTTACACCAGTTAGCTTCAGGGAGGGATTTTTTTTTTTTGACTGTGTGTTTGGTTTTCCCTTGTATAGGGATGCTTTTTCTTTGTCCTTTTTAGATTGCAGAGTAATTCTTTTGTGTACGTTTAAAATATTCTAATTTCATTTCATTTTCTTGATTGTTTTATCCTAATGCCTACAATTATTTTAAAAATGCACACCAGAAATAGCTGGAAACGAATAATTAGACATGCATGCTTTTAAGGGATCTTTGATTTAGAAAGTGCTCCTTTTGCTGGTGTTTCTATTTCAGCAGGTTCACTGTTCCCTACTTTTCAATATGCAATCAGAAAGACACGCTAAGACCGAGGCTTACATCAGTGTTATAATGCCAGCTTTCACTATAATTCATATACTTTGCTGATAGTCAGTCAAACAATGTAAATTACACTCATTCTTGATTTCTGATTCTGAATTATCTCTTCCAAAGTATGATATTGAGTTTGATGTGCTGCACCCATAAAAGCACAGTGCATGTGACTGTTGTGTGAATTGCCATTCCGCAAATGATTACTACTTTGATCAAAGTATAGCTGTGTCAACCTCTTTAAACCTGTTGTCAGTATGAATAAACAAACTCAAAATGTTTGTCTTAAAGTGACAGCACTTTAAGGCAGCCTGCAATCAAACCTGCATATTTAAAAGGACAAAGCAGTAAGCAATGAAAGGCTAACTTATAACCTTCAGTAAGTTGGTAAAAACATGCAATTAAATTCAAATCCAGCTTTTCATTACACAAAAAAGAAGACTACTCAATGTAGATTTACTGCTTGCTTAAACAGAAGGACTCCCAGGTGTTAAGCAACCATTTTCCTCAAATACATTTTTTTATACCAAATTTAAAACTAGCTCCACAAATGCTTCATTTTAAATGATAAGTAATAGCAGAGATCAGCCAATCTTTCTGTACAATTTAGCATACAAAAGTAAGTTGATGTCATATATATATATTTTTTTTTTTTTTTAAGAGCCAGATGGAGAATTAGCTCAGGAAACAATACAGACCAGTATGTATAGTCACTGTAAGATAGCAGAGTTATTTTATAGAAAAGAAAATATTTCCCCATGATATTACCACCTGTAAATGCTTCACAAATCAGAGCTTTGGTGGAAGCAAAGAGCAGTGGATCCATTAATGTAAAGTGTTTCAGTTTCTAAACAAAGTTTTGTTGAGGTTTCTCCTCTGATGTTCCCCAAAAAACAAAAGTGCCGTAAGAAAAGGATTAAGTTCCCAGATTAATAACTGGTTAAAATGGAGATCTAAGCATGGGAATAAGCAAGCCAGTTGCAGGAGAAGGGTGATTATAACAAAAATCTGTGTTGGCACATTTCAGCGTGATCCTAATTTCTCTACAGAGAAAAGTTAATTGTTAAATGAAAAGCTGACCGCTATCCAAGGTTCGGTTTAATCTAAAGATAACTGCACAGAGTTGCAAAAACATTTAATTGACTTGCTGATTGAACTGGCCTATAAAATTTGATGTCAACAAAGTGCAAAGCAATTAGGGGAAGGAAACCACAGCTCTAGTTTGGCTGCTGCCATGGGGAAAACCATGAGTCATGGCTAGTTCTTTGAAATGTAGCCAGCTCAGTCAGAGTTCAAGAGCATTTTACAGTCTGTCCAAGCAAAAAGAGACTAAGAAAAAGAAAAAAAGGTATTTGGAATTCATTGCATCCCTGTTGACCCTGCTTATGTTTTAGAATACAGAAAGGAGAAAAAAAGGAATATTGAAATGATCAGGCAGCTTCCATACAAACACTGTATACGGTCTAGGATTTTGACCTGATGAGGAAGGAAAAAAACCCAACAAAAATAGGGACTTGGGGGCACAGTGGAAGAGTGTGATGTAGAAAAAGAATAGGAAACTTTCCTGCTTTCCAATAGCAGGAAAAGATAATGCAGTACTCCATTCTTTAGATCATGTAAAAGGTGATGAACTTCAAAGTATTACAATGCCATGCAAATGTAAGAGCTCTGCTCTTCTTCACATGCATTAGGTTGTGGACTGAATGACTCCCCTGTGGGGCTTGCTGCATATATTTTGGAGAAATTCTCTACGTGGACAGATAAATCGTTCCTGCGTAAAGATGACGGAGGCTTGGAAAGGTAAGAAAATAAACATCATTCTGTGAGAAAACTCGTTTAAAAAAACCCAAACAACTGATGATAACTGATGAGGAGATGGACAAAAGGCTGGCCAGTGGAAGCTGAATTTTAAGGATGAAAGATTACAAGTAGATAAGTAGAAGTTTAAGCTTACAGTAGACTGCCTGCAAGCTACTGATTGAGTACTCGGAAGCTTTGCTTCAGGCACATGAATGTAAATTGATTTGCTGCTTGAAAATCAGTGGAGAACCGGAAGACCAATAGTTTATCAGAGCACAAGCCCAATATAGTATGTTGAGAAACAGCTCAATTATACTGAATCTTTTTTTCTCCTGCTAGCAAGTATTCTCTCGATGACCTTTTGACCAACGTGATGATTTACTGGGTGACAGCATCTATTGTGCCCTCAATGCGATATTACAAGGAGAACTTTGCCCGGGACCCCGGCCTTATTGCTGATTCCAGGTAATGAAGTGTACAAGACAGATTTCGAAACAAGACTGAGTCAGACCTGCCTGTGCAAGCGTTTAGATCACTTGCAAATTTAACCTATACTAGGAAAAAAAAAAGCCAAACTGTTATCTTCAATCAATATAGTTAAGGGTAGCTTTTCTTTTAAACCTGTGATTCACACAAATTGGTCTGTTGCTGAAACAATGCAGAACATTTAGCAAAAGTAATTCAGATCTGTGTTCAAGATACAGCTGGTCTATAGATTTACTAGACAAACAACTGTAATCCATGGCTTTGTTCACTAAAAACAAAACAGAAAATCACAAGCATTCCTAGCAAGTTTAAACAGTTAGGATACAATTTACATGTGAACAAACTATGAGCTACAGCTGTTGAGCAAAAACTTGTAGAAGCAGTGTAAGAAGTGATTCACAAGAGAGGCTGACCAGGAAGCACTGGTGGGCGAGACTCCTCAGCAAGTGACTGATCATACAAGAGAAAAAAGAAATCTTATTCTTTGTAAACTGAACTAATTCACCTTCCCTCTCAATAGGGATTATAGTGGTACCAGAAATTCTAGAGCAAATATAAACTAGCTTGCTTGAGTTTCACACGGAGGTGTGGCTTCAACACATTACAAAGCGTAAAAGCCTGAAGCTTTTCAATACTGAACTCTGTGCAAAGTGGGCTTCATTTTATGCATCTTTAGATATAACACTTTTGAAGTCAAGGAGATCCAAACACCAATGAAACTCCTCAGCAGAGTACAGACTATGAAAAGAGTTGCTGTGGTGAAGTTTCTTCAACTCATATAAAAGCTATGAGTCAGAAGGTTTTTAAATTACTTTCTTCAGAAGTTCGTCTTAAAAATACTGTTAACTAATATCTTTTTAGGGTTGGAGTATATGTTCCAACAGCCATTGCAGCTTTTCCCGAGGAGATAGCCCATACACCACGGGTCTGGGCAAAGAATACCTTCAAGAACATTGTCCATTACTCTTACATGCCCTGTGGAGGGCATTTTGCTGCCTTTGAGGAACCGAAGCTGCTGGCACAAGACATCTTCCACTTTGTGAGAAAGGTGGAGAAGCTGTGAACCTGCAGTTTAGATACATGTATAGAATGGAAGCAAGTTGTTCTACTATCACAGAATTTAAGGGATTAAATAAACTCAATAAAATCACAACATGGAAGCCAGCATTTTATTTTGATAATAATGATTATAACTAATAAAGTTGTTCAAACTCTAGAACTCTTCATATAAAAAAAAAAGAGCATCTTGTCTTTTATTCCTGGCACCATATCATTGCTGCATTCATAATTCAAGTATAATGGAATATGTAAACCACTTAATGCAGTAACATTGCACTCATCTGGAGGAGATAGCAGAAAGGAAATGGCCTCTTGTTCCTCAGAACTACAGCTTCTCTTCAAAAGCTTCTTTAAATACTGAAATGCTAGCATTCTTAAATACATGCTTCAAGCAGCTTTGGTGGAAATGTAAAGGGCTTAGATGTCCTGAGAATATCAGACACTCCCATTAAACAGTTTGAGTTATATTTCATTTGAGAGACCAATAATTACATTCTCAAGTGAGCAGCTCCACATAAGGCAGCTCTCTTTATTTTAGCAGTTCTTTCCTAGAGCTTGTTTTAGCAGTTGCTCGCTGTCAAGGAATAGCAAGGCAAAAATGGCATCTGTAGTGCTCTCTAAGCTTAAAAAAAAAAGATTAATTTCCTTCCAGTTTTACAATCTTATTCACTGCTAAAATGTCAGAAAAGCTTAAAACATGCACTGAGTACAGAGGGTTAATTCACCTTCTAACAACCTCCTTCCAAAGGATTTTTATCACCCCATCGATCAGCTTCTGTTAGCATGTAGTAAGCAGCCTTACCACCAACAGCCTAGAGATTCTCTTCTTATGGATGGAGCCATTTAATTCATTCCATGATAGACACATATCCAGCTGATCCAAGACAACTCCAGCAGATATCTAGTTCTGGTACTAGTTTCTCCTCCCCGTCCCTAAAGCAAGATATTTTTATTTTCTGTTAAGTGGGAATAAGCTACCACATTGAGGCAGGAGTCCTAACTTCCTGCGAAGGAGAGAATAAACTGCTTTTCCTAGTTTTAACTGTATATCAAACTGATTGTCAGGTCTGATGGACTAAAAGTAAAGGAATAGGAAGATGTGTTCTGTTGCTTTCACAGGACCACTCAGCCTCATTTCATCACCAGTATAAGACACTGCTAGGCATGAAGTCTTCCAGTTGCTGAAGAGTGCCGTGCTGGATTCCTAACAAACTGAAATGGTGTTATGGGAAGAAAGATATCATCTACTAGATGGGCAAGCACTTGAGTACTCAAGTCTGAGTAGGCTGCAGGAAAAGGTCTTCTTTCACAGCAGTGGGGTAAAGAATGGTTATGGCCTTCACAGTAAAAGGCCAACTATATTAATAATCATATATGTTATCTTGTCCCAAACAATCATATAATGCAGTAATCATTAACAGAAATGGCTGCAGTAAAACTCAGGAGAGTAAAACTCAGGAAGACTGCAATATTTGTCAGTTCAGCAAGCGTGTCACAGGGAAGTCTTTACACCCAATATATCAATTTCCTTAAATAATCATGGTAGCTGTATGCAGCTGTGCCTTAAAGGGCTTTTGCTTTCAAAGACAAGTCATGCGGTGAACACAGAAGAAGGTGGTCAGGAAGGCAACAGATGCCCTAGAGAAGAGATCCAGAGAGACAAGTGTATGCCATTACCTTTGATAGAATTATTGCCTAAAGCAGCACCAAAAATTATTCAGTATCCCATTAAAGTTCTACAGGGCACAGATCATTCATGAAAGCCCTTAAGTGTCACTGGTGCTTGAAACCATATGTAGTCCTCCCAAGCAGAAGTCATAATCTGAGGAGCTGAGGCACTTATATCGATATCTCCATCGCAGGACAAATTAATAGTCAGTTTCTTTCCTCTGGTTGGCACTTTGTAGTTGAGCTTGGGCCAAAACCACTCCACACCACAGTTGCGATGCCCTTGGAGCATAACAACAGTGCTTGTGACTGGAAGAGCTTTAAGTTCACTGAAGACATCTGCAATGAAGAGCGAGTGAAAAAGCTTACGCACGCAGGATGTGGTTTTCAGGCTTTTCTCAGCACTGCCCACACAGATCCCTTCTAAGTTGAGCTCATAAAGCTCCTTGGGGCTCACAACATTGCCTCCAAGCAGAATAAGAACACGGGGAACCAGTGTCAAGCTGAACATCACTTCCAGGTGCTGGAGCACTGCCTCCAGTTCCACCAGCACCTGCTGGCACTTCTTGCTTGCTAAGCCCACAGAAGGTGGCTTCTTGATCATATCTCCATCCTAGAAACCACAAAAAAGAGACATTAATATACGAACAAAAAATTGCAGAGGGTCCCAAATTCACTCTTCAACTATGGTCGTCAACTATGACGCATCCCCTCCTTGAGACTCTATGAACACATAGAAGACAATCTATCAACATTCGCAATTAGAGCTTTTGGGTTTCTAGGTGATGTGTTAGAAAACGAGTGAAGGCGGTAGGATAGTTCACTGACAGACAGAAACCAGCGTTAAGCCCCTACACCGGCAGCCCCAGGCCGACTTTTAAACGGGCCACCCACCCCGCCCCCCCACCAAGGCTCAGCCGCCCGCCCACCTGCGTGGCCCGCCGGCAGAAGTAGGCGAGCTGTTCGTAGGGCAGCGGCAGCTGGTGCCGCTGGTGCAGGACGTGCTTCAGGAGCTCGCAGGCAAAGCGGCAGCAGCTCTCTCGGCTCACGGCGCCCGGGAACACCACGGACACGGCGGGGCTGAGCGCCGCCGGCGTGCTCCGCCGGGACCTCCTCCCACGGCCGCGCTCCGGGGCTAGCGGCGTCTCTACCGTAAGAAGCGGGGAGGTCTGAGAACCCGGAGCCGCCACCGCACCAGGCGACTCCGTTTCCCCCAGGGCAGCCATTTTCTAGGCGGCGGCAGCGGCGGCCCGCTGGAATTTGAATGGCTGCCGCCGCGGGGCACCATGGGAGCGGCGGAACGTCCGTCCCGTGGCTTCCGGAGAGCGTGGGCGCCATGTTGGATGGGGCGGGCACTAGGAGTCAGCCCTTGGGGAGTAGAAGGGAGCCCCCCAGCGGCCGCATCAGCGGCGTTTTTCCCTTGCATCCCAGAGCCCGCCCAGAGGGCGGACGCAGCGCTGCGGGGAGGGGAAAAAAGCGGTGGTGAGAGAGCCGTACACGGCCAAACTCCCCGCCTCGCTAAGAGGCCTCAGCGAGGCGGAGGCTGGCACCGGGCCCCGTGGCTGGCGGGGGAGCGGCCGTGTTTGGAAACAACGTGGCCGCAGCCCCATTGGGCGCAGTCTCCCACGCACCGCGGGGGGGGGGGGGGGCGGTGCCAGGAACGTGGAAGTTGACATAGGCGGACCGACCGTCGCCGGCCCCGGGGGTGCGGCGGCGAATCGCGAGGCTTGCTGCTGTTGGCGGAGGCGGACAGGGGGGCACGGTGCTCAGCGCGTTCTCGCCCCGAGCCGAGCGCTTCTGTCGTGAGCCCCTGTCGGCAGGGGGTTGCGATATCTGCGTGGATAGTTCTATGCGCCGTGTTGTTTCTCTGCCTTTATTGGACGTTTCTGATATCAGAAATGCTTAAAAGCACTTCGGCTTCCCACCCCCTGTGCCAATCGCCGTGTGCCCCAGCTCGCTGTCCCAGAACGGAGGGCACCGGGGCGGCGCCCTCGAGCTGCCGGGCACCCCGCACTCCGAGCTCCAGGGCCGCCGGGGGGCGCCGCCCGCACGGAACTCCAACTCCCATCCGCCCTTGCGGAGGCAGTCCATAGAGAACGGCGCGGGGCGCGCCGAGGGGCACGCCGGGAGCGGCAGTTCCGAGAGAAGCGAGGCGCAGTGCGTGCCGGGAATTGTAGGCGGGCGGCGCCGCGGACTCCGTTTCCCGTGGTGCCGCGCGGCGGCTTCGCTGACGGCGGGGGCCGGGGCGGCGGGGGGCCCGGGCTGGGAACGGGTGCCGCACCGGGGCGGCGGGGCCGCGCCGGCCGCTATGGATTCGCGGGTGTCGGAGCTGTTCGGGGGCTGCTGTAGGCCGACGGGCGCGGCGTTTCGCGGACGCGGAGGGGCCGCGCCCGGCGGCGGCGGCGGCGGCTCGAAGGCGAAAAAGAAGAGCGGGCGGAGCCGGGGGGGCAAGGCCAACAACCCGCCGTACCTGCCGCCTGAGGTGAGCCGACTGTCGGCGGCCGCGGAGGGGACGCCCGGGGCCTGTCGGGGCCGGCGAAGGGGCCCGGAGAGATGGGTGGGGGGGGGGGGGCTTTGTGCGCGGCGGGGCCGGAGCGGGGATGCGGGTGAGGTCGGGGCAGCGCCGGCGGGGGCTCCACCAGCTGCCGGGCTCCCGAGCGCCGCTCGGCACGTCCTGGTGACGGCCCGCCCGGCTCCGTGAGCCGATGTTTTCCGTTGTGGTGATGCGGCGGGTGCTGGCGGGCTCCGAGGGAGCGTTCTCGTTTTTGGTGTTTGTCTCCTGCAGCAGGAAAAACTGACGGTGTTACTTGAAGGGTGTGTGGGTTAGTTCAGATGGTTGGCACGGCTCTGAGGAAACTGCTGCTGTGGATGGAGAGCATTATTACATTGAGAAGATAGCTCAGCCCTGCTGGGCGAGCTCTCAGTAAGTTATCCGAGTCTGTGCTGGGAAGGGGCGGCCCCCACACCGGGCTGTGGTTCCCGTCGAGGAGAGAACGTAGAGCTCAGCTATGTGAGACCCTGTCCGAGGGTAGGAGCGTCCCCTGCAGCTGCAGTTCAGTTTTGGTTCTCTTCAGCTGGAGGCTGTGCAGCCCCTGTGGTTTCAGCACGGCTTCCTGTCCGTGGCCGCCCAGTGCAGCATGTAGTCCGCACAGCCTTGTGTGTTGCTTTTCTCTAGGCTCAGCTGCTTCAGAAGAGACCTACCCCCTTGTTTAGAGGACAGCACAGAATGTGAACCTGATGTTTTTCTTAAATGGCAAAAGCCTCCTGCACGTATCCTTCCCTCACTGCATAGCTCTGCTGCCCGAGTGCCGAGCTGGCAGCTTGGAACTTCCCTCTGTTGGCCTTCTGCCACCATAAGCTCCTCTGTGGTTAGAAACTCAGCTAGAAGGCAGGGAGAGGGCTGTTGCCTCTCTTGACATGCAAATTGGTGTCCAGAGGAAAAGCAAGTGCTTAGAGTTGGCAGCTCAGCTTAGTCTGCCTGAGTACATGGCTTCTTGCAGGCTCTCGTCCTTTCTCAGTGGCACTTCGACCAAATGGGTGCAGAAGTTACTTCAGTTTTGACTAGATGTTGTCTTTGGAAGTTAGAGCCTGTTGTGATCGATGACTTTATGGGCCTTTCTGGTTTAGGCTCTAATACAACTTGGTCTGTTTTCAGCCCTTCTTGGGGAAATTCTTCAGAGAACATTATGCGCTTACAGTCTCGATCACATCTGGTTCTCCAGCCCAGTCACCAGTTTGCTGTATTGCAAAGGAGTCCATGATTTGCATCCTTATGTCTGTGGTCCTTCTGTCTTGAAGGGTAGATATACAAGGATATGGGAAGGAGTCAGTGGAAAAATAATTGGGTGAGAGAAAAGGGTATCAATGCATGGGGAGAAGAAACAATGACTTTTGTTCCTATTCCCTTCTTTCTGTGCGCGCTGGGTGGGCAGAAACTGCTGGACATAGTAGGAATGGGGTGGTGTAGTTTGCATTGTGGGATGTGGCTCTTTTTGAAACTGGAACTCTGTGTGGCTGGCCCTCTTTTTTGCAAACAATTAAAAAAGCAAAACAAAACAACAACAACAAAAAACCATAAACAACAAGGCAGCACTACTCCCCTGTGTCATATTCTAGTTTTATCCCTTGTTTTTCATAATATGTGATGCAAACAGCAAAAAGAAGCCTGAAGTAAGTTCTAGTTAAGTGTAGGAATGAGCAGCAGAATGGGCTGCAACCTAACACAATATATTTCTGCAGTTTTCCCTTTCTGAAATTGTCAGTGCAAGCTGTGAAATATCTTTTCAGCTGATGCCTATAAAGTCCCTTCTGGCACAGCATCTAACCCTTCTGTTTTGTTTTGTTTTGTTCTCTGACCAGGCAGAAGATGGTAACATCGAGTACAAGGTGAGCATTTTGTGAGTGTAGGTGGGTTTCTTCTCAGAGCTCTCTCACAGCAAATAACTTCAGGAAAGACAGTGTATGGGGAATGTGCCCGTGGGGACAGAAGAACAGACACTGTACTAAGGAAGGAACAATCAGTCATCTTCTGAGTACATAGAGATACCCAGTGTTCTGAGCTGGAAGAGTTTGAGCTCGTCACTCATTTTAGGAATCTGTTTTAGGAGACAGGACCCCCTGGTTTTCCTGAAATCTTCACATTGACAGCTGTAGGTGTCCCCAATAATCATTTATCACTCAGTTTGTAGCTGTTCTGCCAATCATGGTTACTTGGCTCATTTATCACAAATAGGTCCCATGGTGCTGTCTTTTTACCTCCACAGCAGGCAGAATGCAGATCCCTTTGGGAAAGTGAAGAAATGTTCTACTCCCATATACAGGCATCCCTGTGAAACACTCTCTCACCTATCCCATGGTTTCTGTTTAGATACTAACATGGGGTGTGTTTTCCAGAGGTGGGTCAGAGCAGGGAGCATTGCTTCACCGCATTGATTTAGAGAGCTGCTGGTTTGGGCACTGGCATTACTTCCAGGCTGTGACTGTAACTCTTCCCTCTGTTAAACAGCTAAAGCTGGTGAATCCCTCTCAATACCGCTTTGAGCACCTGGTGACACAAATGAAGTGGCGACTACAGGAAGGCCGTGGTGAGGCTGTCTACCAGATTGGTGTGGAGGACAATGGGCTGCTGGTGGGCCTCTCAGAGGAGGAGATGCGTGCCTCACTCAAGACCCTGCGTCGTATGGCAGAGAAGTACGTGTGCACTTCTGTCTGAGGGACCTGTAGGCTTAAAAAGCCTCTGGTACAAGAGAGAGTTCGCTCCAGGAGTTCCCAGAGTAGCTGGTGGCATCGCTCCGTGGTGCTTGTGTATGACTAAACTTTTGTTATCATGAAGGTCTAGACATAAGAATGGAGCTAGAAGACTTCTGTCTTCAAGCCTGAGGCTGCTGTCCTGCTACACCTAGTTTTTGTCCCATTCACTTTGTCAGATCTGATTCTGTATGTGCAAGGGCTGCTGAGTGCGAGCATGTGTGTCTCACTCTTCCCTTCTGTGTCCATGGCAGAGTTGGAGCTGACATTACGGTGCTGCGAGAGAGGGAGGTGGATTATGACAGTGATGTTCCAAGGAAGATAACGGAGGTGCTCGTCCGAAAGGTGCCTGACAACCAGCAGGTAGGAACCTGTGACCTGGCTCTCCTCTCTTGCCAGAGATGTGCAGCCCTCGTACAAGAAACTTACTTTTAGGATGGGAGTCCAAGCCCTAAAGGCAGTCTGCTCCAGATTGGCCCATAGCAGATGCTTTAAAGAGCTGCTAGAGGGAAGCTTTGAGGACAACGCTTCTTATCTCTGAGGTTGTGGTTATGGCACATACCCGTAGGAGAGATTTCCTTGATCAGAGATGAGAACCTATTTCAATTCTGCAGCAACAGTTGTGATGCAACCCAGTGTGCAAACAAGGAAGAATTTAGACTTCCTGCTGATGTGTCATATCACAACACAGTGAAGTATATCACAACTCCCAGACTATGATTTGCCACGAGCAAGAGCAGAATCTGAACAAAAGTACGCTGTGGTGTCTGTCTGTTGTGGAAGGAAACCCTAGGGCACATCCCTGCAGGTGTGTGGTGTTCATACAGACCCAATGGAGCAGCATGTAGGTTTAATGATTTCTTTGCTCTTTTTCTCCTAGTTCTTAGACCTGCGAGTAGCTGTGCTGGGTAATGTGGACTCAGGGAAGTCAACTCTGTTGGGTGTCCTAACACAAGGAGAGCTGGACAATGGCCGGGGCCGAGCACGTCTCAACCTCTTCCGACATCTCCATGAAATCCAGTCAGGAAGAACATCAAGCATCAGTTTTGAGATTCTCGGTTTCAACAGCAAAGGAGAGGTGAGCAGGGGGCTGCTGAACACAGATGGAGGTGATAGGGAGGGTGGAGAAGAACAGGATTACCCTCCTGTTACAGTGCTGAGGGAAATATGATGGAAGAGTGGCAGTACAGCTATGTGTCCCCTTACCCAATCACTGCTTACGTCCATTTGCAACAGACGTGATTTCTTACATCTATGATTTCTTACATCTATGATCTCTGCTAATTTTGATGTCAAAAGGGACCGATAAGAGCTGGCTCTTCCTTCACTTGCTTGCTGGGCTCCTTTTCTCACCAAGTCCTCATGTTCCTCAGGTGGTAAATTACAGTGACTCCCGAACAGCAGAAGAGATCTGTGAGAGTTCCTCCAAGATGATCACTTTCATCGACTTGGCTGGCCACCACAAGTATCTGAAAACAACCATCTTTGGCCTCACCAGCTACTGCCCAGATTTTGCTATGCTGGTAGTTAGTGCCAACACTGGCATTGGTGAGTGTTACACTGCCTGCACAGGCTGAGAGTAAAATATGAAGTGAAATGGGGAGCAAGATGTTGAAAGAAAATATTAGTCTAGAAGTCCCTTCTGATTTCTTGTAGGCCAGCACCTCTAAGTGCCTGGGAGGGAAGCAGGGCTGAGTTACTAGCTGTAAACCATGCTAAACAGTGCTCTGGACAGAGGCTTTGTTTGGAATTTAAGACTGTGTTTGTCAGAGGGGAAAAAAAAATAAATGTATTCTTAGAGGTGCTGAATCCAAAACTTCATGAAAAGGCATCCGGAGTTCTTCCATATTTTTCTGTGACACTTTTGTGGTTGTTAAGAAGGAAAACTACTGCATCCTTCTGAAGCAAGGAGATCAGTTACAATAATTCTGGGTTCTACTTTTCTGGAATGCTCTTGTTTTTTTGTTTAAAAGAACAGTTTTGCTTTCTTATTGCTTGATGAACTACCAGTTGGGATGAAATTTCCAGGGTGGGCCCATGGGAAGGTCAGGAGATGTTGCTGCTTATTTTTGTAAAGCTACTACACTCTAACTTATCTCCTGCAGCGGGCACAACACGAGAGCACTTGGGCTTGGCCATGGCCCTCAAGGTCCCCTTCTTCATTGTCATCAGCAAAGTTGACTTGTGTTCAAAAGCCACTGTGGAACGGACAGTGAAGCAGCTGGAACGAATTCTGAAGCAGCCAGGCTGCAACAAGCTTCCATTGCTTGTCACCTCAGATGATGATGCTGTTACAGCAGCACAGCAGTTTGCACAGTCTCCCAAGTAAGGAAGCATTCTTTTCTGCTGGGAGCAGGCAGTTCAGACTGGGCTGCTGTGTGGTGCTGGGAAAGGGTGATGACAAGAGAGGCAGCCACTCAGCTGGTTTCCTCATCTCTGTATTTTCACATCCCAGGCCTTTTTTCTGGGCTGTGGGAGTGGAAGATGCCAAAGGCTGTGCTTCTCCAAGAGGGGGGGATCAGTACCTCAACCAGCCATGAGGCAGAGTTGTGCCAGCTCCTTGTGCCCTCCTACTCTGACCTTTTATCACTGTAGTCTCTGGACTCGGTAGATTCAGAGTCTCAGTCACCTTTTGTAGTTGTGGTCTGGCATTCTGCTTACTCGTGTTTGTGTCTGACAGCATCACCCCAATCTTCACACTGTCCAATGTTTCTGGGGAGAACCTGGATCTCGTGAAAGTCTTTCTCAACATCCTTCCTCCGCTGACCAACAGTAAAGAGCAGGAGGAGCTAATGCAACAACTCACAGAGTTTCAGGTATGGAAGGGTAGCTTGGCTCCAGTTCTCTTAGTGCACGTGTTGCTGTGATGTGTGACAAACATCTGTGGATTCTAGATAGAACAGGCAGAGACAAGGTGAACCACTGGATTACTAGGAGATGTTTGAGTAAAGGAAAAACTCGTTTCTTGAACAAGGCTTTTTAGGCTGGGCTGCGTCCTAACCAAGGGATGCCCATTTCAGTGAGGAGGTTGTTTCTCTAGTTGCCACTTAAAAGGCAAAGGTTCCTCTAAAAGGAATGTTGTGGGAGCTATCGAAAGCTCACGGATGGTGTCTGATTCTGTATGGGGTGGGCAGCTTGTTCTCACTCTGGAATGCTTTCTCACGGCTGTCTGAGCAGCTTGTTCTTGTTGCCTTCTTGCAGGTTGATGAAATTTATACTGTGCCAGAAGTGGGAACTGTTGTGGGAGGAACTCTGTCAAGGTAAGGGAACAGGCAGACAGGTGTGATTGTGAATGGTTGCTGGAGTTCCCGCAAGGTTAGAGTTTGATCCCTACTCATACCAGATAACCGAGCCAAGGGAGGATGGAGGACCACAGGATGCTAGGAGATGTCATGAGCAGATCAGTGCTTGTGCAGTGGCAGGCAAGGAATCTGCTCTAAAATTGCTAGATAGGAATGTGACCTGTAGTGTGCTGGTAGATGAAAGCGTGCTGGGAACAGTCAACAGAAGTAAGCCAGGATGCTAAGGTGTTGTATTCCTTCTTCCTCAAGCAGGATGAGGTAGATGGTAAGTCCTCTGCTCCCAGCAGAAGTTAACCACATGCCACCCTGTGAAGAAAGAAGCTGTCATTCAGCTTCCAGGAACAGTGAGCACAGCTTGGCTACGTTCACACAAGTGGCAACTGCAGTCTCACCAGCAGAAATGATGCAGTGTGGCAGAGCAGTAGGAGGGAGTGGCCCCTGTCCAAAGGACTCTGGGTGTTTGAGGAGTGACAGTGTGGCTTTTGCTCCTACTGTATAGAATCCCTATTCCCAGCAGCGTTGCATTCCCGTTAGTTGGTCATGTGCCTGGGTGAGAATCCAAAGACACTCACGTTGGCCCTAGAGAATCTGTGTAGGTTGATCTTGGAGAGTGCAAATTCCTCCTTGTCTCCTGATGAGCTCTGTCCTGCTGTTGTGCCTTGGGCAGTGGGATCTGCCGAGAAGGGGAGAACCTGGTGGTTGGTCCCACTGACGATGGGAAGTTCCTCCGGCTGAAGGTGTGCAGCATCCAGCGCAACCGCTCAGCCTGCCGCGTGCTGCGGGCTGGCCAGGCAGCCACGCTGGCCCTCGGACCTTTCGACCGCTCCCTGCTGCGGAAGGTGAGTCCTGCTGTTGCCAGCTTCTTTGCTGGTCCAGTGAGTGGGGCTGGAAGCTTCCCTGTGGATCCCCCATTGGTAGAGCGGGAATGAAGTAGAAGTGTTTACAGAAAGCTTGTTGAAAGGGAAGGAGGTTGCCAGGCTGTGAAGTATGATGAGTACTGGACTGAGAATGGGGTGTGAGTCCAAGTTCCAGAGTGGAAACATGTTTGTGGTTGTGGGTGCTGTTCAGAAACAGGAGGATTGGCCTTAACTAGTCTGAGCTCTTGGTTATTGTGCAGGGCATGGTCATGGTGAGCCCAGAAATGAACCCCACCATCTGCTCAGTGTTCGAAGCTGAGATTGTGCTGTTGTTCCATGCAACAACTTTCCGGAAGGGATTTCAGGTGACGGTACATGTGGGGAACGTGCGACAGACAGCTGTTGTAGAGAAGATCCATGGAAAGGTAAGTCATGGAAGGAAAAGGGAGGAAGATAGAACTCAGTGTTGGGACCTGCTGGTATTCCACCATGCCCTCTTCTAAGGCTGTGGGCTACTGGTATCTTGAATACCTGTCTTTCTTCCTAAGAGCACACTCCACTCCTTTATCCTTCCCATTTGGTTGATATTTCCTCCTCGCAAAACAAGCAGTATCACAGACTACAGCAAGACTCTGAAGGGGGATGAGTTTTCCATTCCCCAGAGCTTGTGTTCTCCTGTCTCCCCCTGCGCAAATAGTAATGGGAAGGACTTGAGCCACGTGGTCTGAAGGAGTCAACCTGTTCACTTGCTTCATTATCTTAGCATCCACGTGCACTTCTCTTGTATGCATCAGAAGGACAGATAGGTCTAAGCTGTCCTTTTTTTTCTTCAGGATAAGCTGCGGACAGGAGAGAAGGCCGTTGTCTGTTTCAGATTCATCAAGCATCCTGAATACTTGAAGATCGGAGCCAAGCTGCTTTTCCGTGAAGGAGTCACCAAAGGCATTGGGCATGTCACTGATCTCCAAGCCATCACCACCAAAGAAAATGGCCTGGAGGAGTCTCTAGGGCCTGGACAGCTGAGCTTCTGACTACCACTAGGTCAGAGAGATGTCTGCTCACCAGCAACCAGGGAGAAGGATGAAAGCTCCCATGGGTCTCTGAGTGACGCCTGGAGCTGCTGCTGTCCCATTCTAGCAACGGTGTCTCTCCTCCGTACTGTGAGATGGAGTCTCTGAGGGTTTCTCACATTCAGTGCAGCACATGAGGCAAGATAAGCACATTCTCCACATTGCCCACTGCTTTTTGTTATCCTGCCTTCCTTCGGAATAGATTGGAGGCAACCGCTGGTCTGGGCAGGCAAGTTCTGGCTTTGTTCACTGAACAAAGGATGTTCACTGAAGGGATGTTTTTCCACCTGTGACACAAGATTTGGTCCCATTCCAGCTGTTAGAGCACTGGGTTGATGCAGTCCTGCAGCACATCCCTCCAGGCAGGGGATGGGAGATGCCCTGCTGCCTGCAGCAAGATCTTGGTTGAACCTATCAAAATACGTTCAAGACACTTTTTAACTATTTTAATCTTGGTTGGCTTTAATCTGCTGTGTGTCCATTTGTATGTTGGTTTTGCATTACTCCAGTCTAAGTGTCTTACTGTTGGACGAGCATCCTGTCCTGTTCCCTGCGTGCATGTACGCACTCCTTCATGTGACTTAGGAAGCTGTGGCTGCTCAGTGTGGCACAGTCTCCTGGCATTACAGCACAAAGGCAGATTTAGTCAGCACTTGCAAACAGCTCCTTGAAGCAGCGGAGCAGGAGCTGTTTTGTGGAGCAGAGTGAGACCTGGGCCTGTGCTGGCATGGGCAGATTGTTTAATGGCTGTTCAGCTACAGGTGAATTCTACATGTGGCAGCAGTGGCTTGCAGTGAGCTCCCTGGTTTGGCAGCTCCAGGGCCCAGCCCATGCTTGCCTTAATGTGAGGACAGGCCACATTACTAACACAAAACAAGGTGACTTCTGTTGTTTAGTTGTGATTTGGAAGTGGCGTGACTTTATTTTTCTTCTCAAGGAAGACTTTTTTCTTTCCCCTGCCACTGGGGTGTGTTGTGAGTGGAAGGCTATTGTTGCCAGCAAAGACTCTGCACAGGGAAGCACTCTTATTTCCATCATGCTGTTGTGTGGCTGCTGTGTGTGACAGCTCCTCCAGGCCCCTCAGCCCAAAGGCAGGGTCTGTTGAGCTGTACATGGGCTTTTGGTTTTCTCACTGACTGTCAGACCAGAAGAGTCAGTGGTGAGCAATAGTCCTCCAGCCAACCTTGTCACATGGCACATAGCTTGCCAGCTCTGACTGAGGAGAGGGGAGAGGGCCTGCAATACCACACAAATACCCAAAGAGCCTTTTTGCCCTCTTGAAAGCAAGTTGTGGTGCTGACCTGCTGGCACAGGCAATGCATGTGGGGCTGGGTGGCCCACGCTGCTGATCTGTGGACAGCATAATACCTGGGGAGACAAAAGATGCCAGCACTGCAGAGTGCATGTTGGGACTGGGGGAGGCTGGTGAAATGGTGATGTACCTGAAGGGACTCAAGAAGCAGCTCAATGACAGAAGCAGGCACTGCCTGCCCATTGGGAGGAGCACTGACCCAGCTGTAAGTCAGCTCAGCAGGGAGAACGCAGCTGCTGGGTCAGGGTCGCTGGCTGTGGTCGTAGGTCTTTCAGCCATGCCTGAGAGGACTGGAGCCAGCTGCCAGCAGGCTCTACCCTTTGGTGCTCATGGCTCACTAAGAAAGGGGTGGGGAACATGATGCCAGCTGTTTGCAGCAGCCCTAGTGTCTTCCACACCAAAGCAGGCATGGGCTTCTCTAACCCTCTCTGAGATAGATAGCTGATGGCTGGTCCCATCTTGTCCCTACCAGCTGTGGCATGACTGTTCTTGGTGCCATGCTCTTCATGATTGCTGTTTTATTGTCTTGACATTTTCTAATGCTGGGGCTTGTCCCTGTTCCCTGATTGTCTATAAATAAATGTACAGAATAAAGATGTTTTATGGAGGTTGCTGGCCAAGTTGCATAGTGAGTGAGGGTGGAGCCAGGCTTCTGCCCTGCTGCCCTTGAGCTGGGTCATGGCTGCCCTTCACCCTGCATCCTGCACTCAGTTCTATAAATACCATCCCAGGGTGTGGAAGGAATGCGTGCATGCTGCTGTTTACAACCTCGATCTCCCAACTTATCTGAGCAAGCCTGAGGTGACAGGCTGCTACGTCACTCTGAGCACAGCTCTTCTGGCTGTTAGGGGTGGGACTGCCTGTGGCTGGGGCTTTCTTGCTGTCATAACTTGCCCTGGAGCCTAATTAAAGGGATGCATTCTAGGGCACAGACCTAACTGGTGACTTGCTTTTAAAATAGCTCCAACCTTATCAAGGGGTTTGCAGCTGCTGTGGTATCTCCCTGAGAACATGTTGTTCTCCTGGGACAAGAGGCAGAAGGGCTTCCCCATGGAAGTGATCCATGTCACTGAGTGGCTGCGAGTTCTCATTTTTTTTTGTGACCAGCAGCAGCACCTGCTAAGGCCGGTCTTGCCAGACACTTAGGAAATGAGGTGTGCTGCTGTCAGAGGACTGTGAGGCAACCCTGCCAGACTGGTTGCTATTTCTCTTTCTCTGAAGACTTCAGGAAACTTGTCACTTTGCAAGGTGAGGGCTTTAATTAATGGGAGGGACTCTAATTCCTTCCTCTGCTCGCTGCCAGCAGAGCTTGCTGCACACACCAGCACCAGCTTTGCGTTGTGCTTCTCAACATCTTGTAACTGTCATGCTATATACGCTAGGTAGCCACTGACAGCAGTGTGGTGGCTTCCCAGCACAGGGGAGAATGTTGGCTGGTGGAAGGAGAACAGCTCACAGCTGAAAATAGGATGGTGCTGCTCAGAAATGAAAGGGAAACAGCACATGCAACTACAGCTGTACTTTGCATCATTCTCTGCTGCCTGAGAAACTCTCCCCTCTGCTCTGGGAGAGAAAGGCTGATGAAACACTCTGCAGAGTATGTGGAGTGTTTCCTGGCCCCACTGTGCACTGCTTTGACGTGGTATGCTCACTCCCACTGCTCTGGAGCTGGGCTCCAGCAGCAGCAGCCTGGTTTCTGAAAGAGGCCCAGGGGCCCCGGGCACTGCAGCATGGAGATGAGCCCATCTCCAGCCCCGATGGAGGGTCTCCTGGCAGTGCCCACTGTTTTGCTGTATAGTAGTCTGCTTCGTGAGCTCTGTAGCCACTAGGGTTAGTTGATGTTAGCAGTGTTTCTTGTGCACTCCAGAGCTAGTGATGAGCGCTGCATACTAGGCAGCAATACAGTTGCCAAACCATACATAAAAAAAACCACTTTGGTGGAAGAACTAATCTATGGAGGAAAAAATAAAAAAGCAGTTCCCCTTCTGGGAGGAAGGGATGGGAAACATGACCATAGGAATAAGCTACTGTGTATAAATGTGGAAATGCAAGTGCAGCCAGTGGAGACTACAGTGAGATGAAGGGTTCATTCTAAGTAAGTGAACAAGGGTTCAAACCTAGACTTGGCTGGATCAGTCTTAGATAAGCCCCTGTGTTCTCACTACCTGCTTTTACAGCACTGGAAAAGCATTCTCATCACAGGAAAAATAAAGAATTACCTACAGCGCAGTGAGACTCAATAAATACCCATGGCAGGAGGTAGATGAGAGTATGATGCAGCTTCTGGTAGCATCAAGCGTGTACAGGCATGGTAGTCACCACCATACTACGTGTGCAATTCAAATTTGGGTACATCCAGCACCACACACTACTCATCAGTTCTAACTCATCTTAGAGTTGGACAGAGATAATTTATTAGATTTCTCTGGACTAAAACCTGAAAGGCAGTATAAAAGGTTTTGTTTTTAAAAGCACTGATTCTCTAAAAACTTCCAGCATGACTGTGCGTTAAGGAGGTAAGCGCTTAAAGAAAAAATCTAAAGTTCTTGTCACACTTTCCCGAGGTCGTTTTGCATTAGATCCTGTTAGAGTCTTGGGCCTGTTCCTCACTTTGGCAGGAGACCCAGAAGCTGCAGCTTTGGGGTTGGGAACCTCTGCTAGAGCTGGTGGGGAGCTGGACTCCTGGAAGGAGCGTTGCAGCTCCACAGCAAAGTGGTAGTCCATGTGCTCTGGGAGCTCCCAGGCCAGCACATATTGGCCACACTTGTCGCAGCACTGCTGATCTCCTGGTGAGACATGAGGGAGCAGGGCTTGCTCAGAGGGTGGCAAATTCTGCTCATTTTCCTCCAGAGCTGGCTCTGACTTCAGAAGGATCCTGGAGTTGGGTGGAGTTGAGGGTGTCTGTGTAGCATCAGACAGCAGCTCCTCACAGGACGGCCTCTTGCAAGGAGAAGCAGGGCTTCCATCTCTGGGACTCTGCTTCACAGAGGCCTCCAGCTCACACTGCTCAGAGGCAAGTCCTGCACCGTCTCCCTCTGGGTGCTCCAGGGAGCTGGGTGCAGGTGACTGAGCATGGGTAGCAGCTGGCAGGCTGGTTAGTACTGCCTCTGACTGCTGCCTTTCTGTCACCTTTTGGAAGAACGACTCAATAGCATTAGCTGGCTTCTGTCTATGCTCTTTGCTTGGGCTCCTGAAAAATTTGACCCTAGGTCTCGTGGAAGATGTGGCCTCTGTGCTGCCAGTAGCAGTGCCATCAGGTGAAGTCTCACTAGTGAGGAAGGAGGCAATGCCTGCAGAGAGGAATGTCGGAGCAGAGAACTTGCTAGCTGCAAGGTGCACTGATATGAGTGGTGGAGACCTGCAAAGGACAGACCAATGTCAACTCGGACACCATTCTGGGAAGCAAGTAGTTTCCTGAGGTAAAACTTTGAACAGCATTAAATGCTCACAGGCAAGAGAGAAGGAAACTTGTGAAAGCACTTAGTCTGGGTATCTGACAAGTGGTGGGAGGGATGTTTCCTGTAACCGTTTGTTATGCTATCTCCAGAACACAGTCTCTCAGATACTGCAGGCTAGGTTGGGCACAGCAGAAAGTCTCATCCCAAAACAGCACTTCCTCCCGCAGAAAACAGGTACCAGAGCAGGGACAGCCAGCTGCCAGCCAAGACTTTCAGTCCGCCACAGGCTGGAGCTACTGTGACTTCTAGCCAAAGAGAGGGCCTTAGCAACAGCCTTGTCTTAAAAGTACACTCTTGCATCTATTACAGAGCAGGAGGGAGGAAGTTACATTAAATACAGCAGGTGTGCACCCTAGTTTTTCTGCTTGCCCCCAGTGGCCTCATCCCAAAAAGCATCTTTGTCCTTTTCCTGCCAGTCAGCCCAACCATCAGTCACGTGAGTCAGGTCCTAGCAAGGATGCGAACTACTTCCTCCCATACTCACCAGGCCGCCTGGTGAGCCCCAGCCATATTGCAGTTTTGGATGAGGGCAAAGGCATCACTGAAGATCTTCTGGGCATCGTAGCGGGTGACAGCACAAAAACGTGACAGCCTGGTGTCTCCCTGCATGCGGATGACCACCATCAGCTGCTTGGCCACTCTGTGGTTCTGCAAAGAGAAGACGTAGCTGTGCCGCAGGCGACATCTACAGGAAAGAGCCGGAATGGCGGCAGAGACGGTCTGCCTAGAGCGCTATCCAACCCAGCTACCTCTCGATGCTATGAGACAGATGGCAGCTTGTCCTGCCTGTCCTGATCTCCAAGGGATGTGATACAGGACTGCAAGGACTTACACAACTGCCTCATGCAGACTGGCAAGCATTTTGTCCTCGCTTTTGTTCAAAGGCAGCTGTGTGCCATTTTCTGGCCTTCCTTCAGCAGCGAAGCTAGCAGCTTAACCTCACCCCGGCCTGCAGTCTACCATTTGTGGATTTAATCATATTATTTGCTCTCAAAGGTCACACCATCAGCTAAGGGCTTACAAGCTGCAACAGAACAGCAATGAGGCTGGATAAAAGTGCAGCAGGTTTCAAGTTCCTGCATCCTAAAGCACAAGAGAACCATCCTTGGCCTTGCAGCATTCTGGGACAAAGTCATCTTTTCTGACTGGACTCTTGCACACTTCTTTGCTCAGAGCATCTCAGCACTGGCATGCATCCAAGGGCAGGCTGATTTCCTTCCCCCACTCCCACTGCCCTAAGCCTCTTGCAAGCAGCTCTTGGTGAACAAAGACTTTGTGGCTTCCTTGAAGGCCTGACTTCCTCAGACATAGAAGGAAGGATGCTGTCCCTGCACTCCTCCTTACCTGATTCCTGTCCTTGATCAGCCTGGATTCCAGCTCCAAGGCCAGCTGCAGCAGCCAGTGTTGCACCTGGATAAAAGAGTTACAAGCAGGTCTGGGCCCACGCTCACAGCACTGCTGCCAGGTCAGAGCAGTGCTACAGACACTGAGGAACACTGCAAGGGGATCAGACCAAAACAGACATTTTTATCACAAAGCCCAATGTCTGGAGTGCTTCTGGAAGAAATGGCCCAGGCAACTCTGGAGGCAAAGCACTGCGGACACCAATCCATTCCTATCGCATTACTACCAGATCTTGCCTAAAGGTAGTTGGGCTCCACAGCCCCGGCTCTCTTATTGCCTCTCCCCTCCTTTCAGCTAGTTACCTTCCTTCTAGCAACCAGCCCTGGAAGCTTGGTACCATGAAAGCCTTTTTGTTCATGGAAATTATGAAGCTGGACCTTTTATTTATGAGTTTTCAATTCTGTCAACAGGGCATTTATCTAGTGGTCCAAATTACTCCCTGCCACTAGACCCCTGGCTTCAGTTTCAGGGTACCATGGCACAGAAAAGCAGTAGTTCTGCAAGCCAATCTCTGCTTTTGGAGTTCTTTCTTTTATTCTCCAATCCAAAAGCTGAGTTTCTTTTTGCAAGATGTTGGCTTTTCCTACCTCCTTCTGTGTTGCCAGGGCTGTTTTCCCAGGGAAGTTCTTGCTGCAGCCAATGGACTGAGGCAAGTGGCGGTTCTTGACGGGTTCATCATCAATTCCTCTGCACAGATCATAGAGCCAGGACCTGAAAGCCACAGAAGAATGATGATGTAAAGGCAG